ACGCAGCTATGAATTTTGTTCACTCAAATTTAGCTTTTCTTCACTCTAAGTAAATTTCTCCTCAAAGTGCAACACTTGCACCTGCAATATTTTTTTTTACGTGCGCTCAGAATAGTGGCACAAAAATAACGCCATAGTTACCGGGGGCCCCACCCTGGAGCCAGGCCTAGGGAGGGTGCCTGAGGGTGAGCGTCTAGTGGCCAGGCACAGCCTGAAAAAGGGACATGAGCCCATCCTCCTGTTGGCCCCCAAACAAGGCGCTGTAGGGGTCGGGTGCAAAGTGTGTTGGGCAATTCGAGAAGTTTATTTATATTGCATCATTTTACAGGAACAGTTTCCTCAATGTTTAAACCCTCTAGTAAACAATCTACAGTGCATCCGGGAAGTATTTACTTTGTCCACATTTTGTGATTTTTATAGCCTTATTCCAAAATTAATTCAGTTCATTTTTTACCTCAGGTTTACACACAATAACCCATATTGACAAATAAAAAAAGTTTGCTTGAAATTCTTGCAAATGTATTTAAAATAAAAACTAAAATTTAACATACCTTTTCACAGTTATGTGAAAAGTTGACACTCAGAACTGAGCTCAGGTGCATCCTGTTTCCTCTGATCATCTCTCAGAATACGGCTGTAACATGACAAAATGTGGAACAAGTGAAGTGCCGTGAACACTTTCTGGATGCACTGTAGGTGCTGCAGTTCTGAAGTACAAAGAGAGAGGGTGTGCCTTGCTCTGAGGTGTTCCTATGGGACAACAAGAACAAAGACTGCAGGGGAAAAAAAGTCGTCATTCAAGCAACAAAGTTGTTAAGTACCAGTAAAGTGTGATGATCAGTGGTCTGATTGAGGAATGTCAGGAACCCAGGCTGAGGAGGTTTATATTTGTACGTTTTATAAACACATCAGAATTATGAAATTGTGCGGGTATTTGTGTTTCAATCATTAAATATCCAAGAAGTTGAATATATGGGTCTGTAGTGATTCCCAGTGTATTAAAAATCTTTCCACATTATAACTTGATCTACATTGTGTCACAAAAGTAGAAAACAAATTGTTGCACATCAAGTGTTGAGATCAGACTGAGGCCTGCATCTCCCAGCCCAGAAATCAGTGAATATGTGTACTTAAAAATGAACATTGGAAATTAATTTTTTTTTTAAAAATATATCTGGATAAAAGTGATGTAGATCTCTAACTTTGTCTCTAAAGTCCTTAACGAGCTCAGGTTTTTTGTTTTCCTCACCGTTCTTTAAGTCACGGGCTGTACCAACATGGAGTTACACTGATACCTTTACACTTCATCCAGTGATCCCGACAGCACACGAATGCACATAAAATGCCTCATTTTTTGCAGAGATCTGTAAATGAATGTCATTGCATGAAAATCTGACTTGTAACAATGTTTGTGTTGATGTGTCAGTGTGTGTCTGCACTCACTGGCTCCTGTGTCTAGGCTCATTATGTGTGTGCTGAAGACTGGACATTGAAAGAGACAAAGTTTTAGACACGTGTTTGTGATTTATTTGCCCTCGTTCTAATTAGTGTTCATATGAGTGTCTGTGTTTATTTTTCCTCATTAAACTCCTGGACTTCAGTGACTTAGCAGCAAGTAAAATGTCTTAAATGTTTTTAATCTGCTTAAAGCTATTGCTTACAAAGTGACAGAATTGTCTGTGATTTTGTTTAAAATAAAGCTGAATAGAGCTTGTGTACCTCCTTTTTAAATTTTTCCTTGTTTTTTTTACACATTTAGTCATATATATATATATATATTGGATTGTAATCTGATAAAGGGAGAAATTTACGTTACACTTTAGCTAGTAATGACTTCATGAACTTTTTCACGAATAATTTGTAACCATTAGAGAAAAAAATGCTCATAATCATCTCACAGATGTAACATTATCTACAGCTAGCTAGCTACAGCTAGCTACAGCATTGATATTAAGTTAGACTCTTTTTCTCCAATTGATCTTTCTGAGTTAACTTCAGGAATTCCTCCAAACCATCAACGTGTCTTTTAGACCGCGTTCCTACAAGAATGCCCAAAGAAGTCCTGCCATTAATTAACGATTCAATCTTAAATATGATCAACCTGTCTCTAATAATCAGCTATGTACCACAGGCCTGTGCTAATGCTCAAATGTAGAGTCTGACACAACGAAGTGCCTCATTTCATTTTCAGTTTATACTGTAAATGTTCCAGAAAGGAAAAACACTTCATGATTACATTTGGGATTGAATGTGCACAGCTCCCAGTGCCTTTGTACTGTGAGATTATTATATTATCTTATGCCACGTTATACCCCTAATTAAAGATTGTGAAATTATTATGTAGTTTAAGCTTAAAGGTGCTGCTGTTGTTCAGCTGCTGGTTTCCCCTTTCTGGCGCGAAGTGGGCCAAAAACAAGCAAGAGAGACAGACTCGCGACAGAAAAGCCGATCAGCTGATCATTAATCAGTTTCACGATTGAAGTAGCAGCAGGAGAGGGAGGGAGAGAGGCAGTCGCTCCATATATCGGTTGTTAAGCTTAACGCTGAAATGCTTTACAAACATTCAGAGATGAACTTACACACTTGCTTTACTTCTCTCTGGGAAAACTTCCTCGGAGATCAAATGCCGGTTTGGTAGCGAGGCTACAAATACTCAACCAGACCACCGACAGGTCTCACACAGCCGCTCTATCACGTGAGCACACTGCTTCGATGTGCTACGATTATGAGCCGAGTTACGCCATGTCGCAAGTTTTGTGAGGTGCTTTTTTGATATTTAATGGATCGGATTACATTTTTTATTTCTCTCCGATATCCGATCCAGTAATTTAGGTCAGTATTGGACCGATACGTAATATCGGATCGGTGCATCTCTAATTTATACACCGAGTATTGTTCTTCCTTTAGCCCAAAGATCAAAGAATTGGAATATTTAACAGTATATATGGAAATAAGTGCTATTAGGAACATGGAATTTTTCATCTGTTGCTTTAAACACACTGCTTTTATTTTGGTAAATGGTAAATGGACTGGTTCTTATATAGCGCTTTTCTACTCTTCTGAGCACTCAAAGCGCTTTACACAACTTGTGCATTCACCCATTCACACCAGCACATTTTTCTAGGTGCTTTCTAAGTAACATTCACACACACACTCATACTCCGATGGATGCATCGGAGAGCAATTTGGGGTTAGTATCATGCCCAAGGATACTTGGCATGCAATCGAACCACCAACCTTCCGATCAGTAGATGACCTGCTCTACCGCCTGAGCTACAGCCACCCCATTTTGCACATAACTGTATATATTCTGTTATTGGAGTCATCACCTTCAGCGATGTCACTGTGGTATAACAAGAAAGATTCAAAGAAACAGGTCAGTATACCATCTCATTAGAAGTGACCTTTATTTACATATTTCACAATGTACAATGTAAGTCTGAAAGCAGATGAAAGAGAGAAAAAGGTAAACGTGGGAGGAGAAAAGCAGGATCAAAATGCTTCACCTATTTCCGTATCTATTGCATAGTTTGAGATGATTGAACTGAACACCTTTCTAATAGTGTGCTCCCAATTCCCAGCCCAACTGCTTGACCCAGAGTCAATCTAAAACCTGCTCCTGGTTACCTGTGGGAGCCCAACACTCCCATCACACATGGCCTCTAACTTCACACAAGTGTGTGTGTGCACATCGCAGAGGTTAACAGTGTGACAGCTCGCAGAAATCTCATGAAACAGTATTCACGATGTTGTCGTCGTTTGTTGTGCAAACATAAATCCAATGGCAGTTTGGGCTCTGCTATTCAGCTGTACAATTGTTTCATGTCTGCCGTCAACCCAGAGGGTATCGCATTGTTCTGTGTGATCGAAGCGCATGGTGTGAAATTATAAATATAACTTATCTTAAAAGCAGTTCTTTTAAAAGCACCACCAATGGTTGAAATACAATATTGATGAAATGTTGATCTCAAGTCAGATCACACACACACGGTTTCTAATTTGCACAAACATACAATGCTTTATTCAAGTGATGAGTTGCTGGTTAACCATGTTTAATGTGTTTAAAAATGTCTTTATGTGCAGATTTTTGACCTATTTCATAAACAGAGAGCAAGGACTGGTAACGCCTGTCTAGGGATCAAACCTTGCTACCTTATGCTGGTATGATTATCTAGGAGGGGGACAAAATATCAGCAGCTACGAGTACTTACTGTACTGCAGTAATTTTGTTCTCAGACCTGCCCCCCTTCAGAAGCTAAAGAAAGATCCCACACTACAATTTTTATCAGTCATCACAAATAACAAAGGATCCACATTGTAAAAGTGAGAGTGTAGCATCACAATAAACAGTAAAATAACAGTAATTCACTTTAGTTTTTTTCACCTGGTGGGCCACACACCCCATGAACGGGGGGGAAGGGGGGCACCACTGTTTGCAAACCATCACTTATCGTCATCGATTGATATTTATTATATCTTTGAGGACAATTTTACATCTCCCATTATAAGTGCATTTACATTAAAGCAAGTCCTGTGGATCGGTGCCTCTCCTCGCTGTATTTGTAATTCCACATGCATGAACTTTCAGATTTTGTAGCAACTATCAGAATTTTGAGAAGCTGAATCGCTCAAACACTAGATTCAGTACCTGGTCCAAAATAGGCCACACCTGTTAACGTTTGAATTCAGGTGAAAGAACAGGTTGATCTAAAGAGCTCCCGAATTCAAGCATTGTACTGCAACGGGACGCCAGCGTAACAAGTCAGTTTGTGAAATGTCTTCCCTCTTAAAAATTCCACGAACAACTCTAACTCATAGAATTCTGATTTTTTCCCGAATACTGTTCTGAGTTGAAACTCAGAATTCCGAATACTGAGTTGAAACTCAGAATTCCGAATACTGAGTTGAAACTCAGAATTCCGAATACTGAGTT